TATACATATATATACACAAAATGTGGAAGTTAAATTTTTTATTTTTATCAGTATATTTGTTGCTGGACAGTAACAGGAGGCACTGTGGAAAAGGCTCATTCCACTGTGATGTACCACAGAAAACCATCAGACAGCTTCTGTCTATAAAACCAGAACTATCTTTATTTGCAATATCTTTTTACATTATCTTTTTAGATTGTATTTTTGATTGTTGATTGTTTGATTGTGATCTACAGATCTGTCACTTCAAAGCCTGCGCAGCTGCTTAGAACCTCTCAGCAGCTGCAGCTCGATTCTGTTGCTGTAACAGGCAGAACAAACACAATTCTGTGAACACTGTTTTTGCATTAATTGGAATAGTGTGATAAAAATGAATTAAATACTGGGTATAATAAAACATGTGTTTTAGTAGTCAGAATGGTAGAGGGGCACCGGTACTGGTGTTGATATACTGCAGCTTTGGTGTGGCTGGATCACAGCCTCACAGTGACACCTCTGGAAGAACCTCCTGTTCTGGAGAATCATTGCTTTATGAAACAGTTAATTACATAATTGGATTTTCAAAGAGACAATTTAGCTGCTTTTGTTTTATTTTATTTTCAAGCTACACATATGAGGATGAAGAGGGTGTGTTTCCAGAAAGCCAGTTTGTCTTTGATTTGGAACTTCCTTTGGAGTTCAAGCCCATAATAGGGGATGGAGAGGTGCAGGAGTTTTACCTCCTCCCCATAGATAAGGTTAGTGTTTTTCTCATACTATAATTTGGGAATTCAGCTTCTAGGAGCCAGTACTGCATGGGTTGAGATATAGATGACACAAAGATATAAAATATAGCATCTTGTTTCAGGTGAAGGAACTGCTGGCCACTGATGACTTCAAACCCAACTCTGCCATGGTAGTCTTGGACTTTCTCATAAGACACTCGTACATTGACCCTGACACAGGTTTGTGGGTGTTTGCAAAATGTCCACAGTCAAAAAACCAGCTCACTGCCTTAGTTCTCTTTTTGTTGTCATTTCAGAGCCGTACTATCAGGACTTTGTGACAGGACTCCACCAGATATTATAGAAAGAAGATGAAGATTAAACTCACTGTGCCTGAGGCACCATATGTCGTGTGGTGCCAACATTGTTGTTCACATTTACAGTTGCAAGAAACATCATAAAAATGTGAACTGATCTTCAGAAACACTAAAGAAAAGTCACACACTTTATTGTACAACATGTTAATATTAAATGTAGTGAGTTATTATATTTCACAGGTGTTTTTCATGCAGTTTTGTTCAGTGGGCTCAGCCTGATAACTGCAGGTGAGTGGTTCAGAGGATGGCTGAACCACATGAGTGCTGGATCTGAGAATGACATGTAAGAGTTATCATGCACAACACTTTGCAGGTGTCATGCAGACCTCAGAGTAATTATGCTCTATATTATCTATAGTCATAGTAAGACCTTTTAAGTACAAAGTGCAATTTCAGTTTCTGCAATTCCACCCATTAAATGCAGTAATCATACCTGATTCAAATCTAGTCATCTCCTTATATACTGCAATTCTAACTTAGATTTGTCTATAGGATTAAAAATGTAGAGAAGAAAAATATGTTATGTTATTCTTTTGAGTATGTAGAGCTCAAACAGAAGATAAGCAACCTCATTAGAGTAAAGCACACATGGATATTTGCTGTGTAGGCGGGTGGTTTGTGGGATCCAGCACTGGTCACATAAACCTGACAGAGCCTGGAGCTGTGTTTGGTACTGCTGAAAAACTGTTTACACAGTGATATATACGACAATATACACATATAACACTCCAAAAGAAGAATGTTTTGAGATTCCTCACAGCAATAAAGTGGAACTTGCAAGTTCATCTTTATTTATTGGTGCTTTCTGTTGTAAAATCTTAACAGTGTTCACTGGACCAGTCTTCATCACAGGTTTTTCTACAGTTGCTCGTGACACTTGCACAGTAACGAAGAACAACTTTGGACCAGTCCTTCTGCGAGGTGTTTCAGTTCATCAAGTTATGGAATATCTTGATCATAAAATATCATTGCATCATGCTACACCAGCTCATGTGGGTTAAGCGCAGGCCTCCCTGATTCTTCTTTGAACAATTCTAATATTAATTTACATCCATGCTTTGGGTAATTTATCTTATTTCATCAAACTGTCCTAAGATTCAACTCGTGAATCGCTCGCTAGATCCAGTGCAAATAATCAGACTCTTTGATTCAATTTATTGTTCCTTTAATGACTGTAAAGCCTCAGATGTACTTCCACTTGCATGCCCACTAGTGTCAGACTATAAAGTAATAACTCCTCGGGGTCTCCAGTTGTCTGTGTCCACAATGGAATATATTTGAGGCTGAAGAAATCAAGCGTTGATCCCAAAACATGCTTCCTCCACCATATGTCATTGTTGGGATGAGGTTTGATGTGCAGTGCATTGTTTTTGCAAAAACAGCAACAGTCATTTTATCTGCTGAACTGCTAAACTGTCAGGTTTTTAGAATGGCTTTCATAACCTTCTCCAGCCTCTCTGCATCTAAAGCCCTTAAATGTGGGGCTCACACACACTTACATCATAAGTCTGCCAAGTGTTGGCCAGTAATTACAGTTAGACTTTTATGTTATTTTTCCTTTGTGAGGCAAAAACTAGACTCATTGCTTATCTGGAATACTTGAAAATTATAACAGTTGAATGTTTGCAGTATGGAGTTGGGATTAAACTTGGCTGTTGATGAGGTTATAGTATCAATGGGGAATATGTTCCTGTTATACGTTTACAGACACATGAACATCTACACAGACCATCATGCTCACCATCTTGAGCCAAGACTTGGACACTAAGTGGGTAAGAGGACAAAACACATGAGAAGAGACACACACAGCAGATTTGGTCATTCTCAAATGTATTTCCTTTAGAAAACTTTACAAAAGACTACTGGATATAAAAGAATATTTTGCTTACAAATAACCAATCCTATAGAAGATCCTTGCATTTTGCATTTCAGAATTTGGACATTGTGTGTTTTTATATGACACAGACATTTGAAGCTATGTGCAAATAATATAAAAGTAAGCTGATGGAATATCCCATAGTTAAAATAGCATACAATGGAATGCAGAGCAGGAAAGAAAAACAAAACATATAGGTATATATAAATGTTCAAACTTGTACTTAAATAATGAGTTACATATTAGCCTCACAACATGCTTTAAAGTAGCATAATGTAAATTTCCAGAGCCCTAATTCCATCAGTACAACACAAAGATATTAGAAGAGAAACACTGTTCTTTACCAAGTGTGTACAGTCTAACTGTAGCACTGATGGAATTAGTGTTGTAGAAATTGTACATTATATGAATTCTTCAAGACAGCAGGTGAACAAGACCGGATCAGAAACATGGAGGTGTCGCATTAAAACTGGAACTGGTCAACTCGAACACAATCCTTTCTTCTATAAACATCCACTCCTCTGTGTCAGAGGTACACCAAGGCCTCTTTAATATCTGACAGTTAACAAAAACTCTGTTCAGGATCATTTGCCTTTGTTAGCGCTTCTATAGCCAACTACATACAGTGTTAGACAGTCCACATCAGTTTAATGACTTGGAAAAACAAAATTGAGCAATCAAATTTTGAAAAGTTGTACAAAACACTGGTAATTTAATCTTACACACAAGGTTTGGCATCACACAGAAAGTCCTTGTTTTGAAAGAGAAGCGCAGACTTTTATTTTGAAAAACAAAAAGTCAGAAATGAACCACAGTCTATGTCTACATCATACACAACTAATGTAATCATGCATTGCTGTAATTTTATTGGAATACCTGTATTGGAGTAGAAAGGCCGATTCTTAGCACACAGTGTTCCAATGGCATGTTACTAATTCAAGTTTATCATGTTAGAAGGTTAATTCATTACATTTTTAAACTTTTAGCTAGCTGAGTAACTGAAACATCATCCTTTGTGTGTTCAACCATAATGTGCTATGAAAGTGAACGCTACTACATGCAGGAAACTGCCCAGAACATTGTACACAATATTATTCCCTTTATAGAACAGCCCAACTGAGCAGCAGGCCAAATACATGAGTCTGCTGTCTGAGAACAACACCTGTTAAACACTAAACAACAAGAGCTGAGAAGCAGATCAGGAACGCCTGCTTAAAAACAGTGGAGAAAAAAGAGACCACCTTATAAAATGAATAGATGGGTAAAGGTTTTGAATCCATTTTAAAATTATTTTGTTTTTAATTCTCTTAATGGTTTTGCCCCTGAGCTGCTTCACCCTTACATGCCGTCACATGCTCTTACATCAGCTAACCAGGTGCTTTTATAAATCCAAAGGAGACCCAGCTTCTGCAGCTTTGGCTCCCAAAATGTGGGATGAGCTGCCTCTGGAGGTCAGGCAGGCTCCATCCCTCACTGTTTTTAAAACCCGTTTAAAAACACACCTTTTAACCCACACACCTGGCTTTTAACCCAGTGAGAGTTGTCATCTTCTTACCCTTTGTATGTACTTTTACTGATTTATTCTTTTGTTCTCTTATTTTCTGTACAGCACTTTGGTCAACTGTTATGTTGTTTTTAAAGTGCTTTAGAAATAAAGTGGGGGAAAAAAGAACAGATGTTGGACAGAGGAAGTCAGGGAGAAAGTTTTATGAACAGATAAACCTAAGAGGTATTTGGGTCAAAAAGAATATTTCTGAGACAAAGACTGAAGGATCGTGGAGGTGTGCCTGCCACCTGTCAAGTGGCACTTTGTAAAAGTTTTGGAGGTCTTTGGGGTGAACTGGGAAATTCTGGGAAATTCAGGACCACATCGGATCCTGTGACTGCTGACTGACTGCAACAGCACAGTGAGCCATAGAATGACTCTAAACTATACAGAAGCAGCTGAGAGCCCAGCACAGTCATTGGGTCTCAGTCCACTCTCACCCACATTAAACTGGGAGCTTCTGTAAGAATGAACTAAAATGTCAGCAAACTGGTGGTAGAATGCTGGAAAGACTCAATTATTTTTGCAAAAATCATTATTTCTAACTTTTTAATATCAATAATATGTTTTCTACTCACTTTAGGATTCATTTAAAGAATAAAAGTGATTTTTATTGAATTATTTAATTTGACATTTGGCGACTGTACTTTTGAGCGGTAGTGTGGATTTTGAATGTGAACCTGCAGCGACAGGTAACTTCATCATCATAAAGGAGGAAATCAGGTCTGTACAGAGTTGGTTGGTCTTTGCAGAGAAATAAAGGAAATGACAAAAGTACAGACTAATAGGATGTTAACTCAAAGAAACGCCGCAAGCCAAGTCCTCCAGAAACTTGTTCATATGGTACACAGCTGTGAATGTACTGAACACCTGGGATGGATCTGTTCTAAAGATGGGCTTGTGTACAGACCATCAGGCTGCAATTTAGAATAACGGAGACCACTTCATAGGTCTGGAAATCCCAACACACCTCTTTAAGAGAGATGGTTCCTTCTTTCCATGTTCTCTTGATTTTAGGTTTGATGAATCCAAAGATATGATTACAGATTAAAGGCAGATTAAACCTTGGACATGAATGCTTACACTCCCCTTTTGACCTAGTTTGATTTTTCTCCCTTATTCCTGAAAAGGCCCCATTCAATTCTGCACAGCATGGTGACAAAGTAGAAACAGGAGGAATGTTTTTGTTGGCAAGGATCCTTTCCTCCTGTCCTCCCTAACCTGTGTAACTTGACACTCTATAGCAGAAGGCAGCCACTTTTTCTGCCTCGTTTCTTGGCCTGTAGCGCCGCCCTGGTGGCCATCTCAAACACCTCCCTCACACCATCCTTCGTCTTGGCTGAGCACTCCAAGTAACCAAAGGCATTGATCCGGTTGGCCATTTCTCTCGCCTCCTCTGACTTCACAGGTTCCTGTTTGGGAAGAACAAAACCATTAAGGAAAACCAGCTCAATCCAATGAAAAAGAAGAAGTGAAATCATTATTCGACCCTCTGTGGGATTTATATGTTTGCTCACTTAGAAGAAATGAACACACTCTAATGTTCATGGTAGATTAATTTTAATGGAGAGCAGTAAGAGTAACTGAAGGTCCAGAAACAAAAACATAAAAGTAATGTTAATGTTTGTTTGTCATTGAGTGAAATAAGTCTTTGATCCCTCCCACAGATTGGCTGTGAGCACATTTAGCCCACAGATTACAATCAATCAATTCCAGACACTCCCCATCTGAACTCTTTACTGTAAATGTATAGAGCACACCTGTCCACAGTATGGTATATGCACAAGCCTGTCTTAAGTTTACCAGTAAATCATCAAGCATGCCGGAACTAATTTCTGATGTGATCAACACTAACGGTGGAGCTGTTCATGACCGAGTTCATGTTTGGACCTTTGATTTCTGTTTTGGGGGGTTTACAGGTTTTTTTGAGGTGTGGTCCTAAACTTTTGATCAGCTGTAAAACAGCCTGTTTCAGTTTAAATGTTGTTTTCAAAAATAATTGTTTTGTCTCACTCCCATTTCTTCATGTTGCATACTGAAGCTCTACTTGGAACCTTGTTAAGATTCAACCAAGCAAAATATGATTTTTTTCCATTTTTCATATATTATATATATATATATATATATATATATACACACACACACACACACACAC